TGGGCTATGTCTATACACAAAAGCACTCCACTGTGTGACGGAAAATTGCCTGGGATACACGTCCGCGTCTATAAATAACTAATTTATTAAACCACACACAAATTCAGTTCAAAACAACAATGCATTTTGTCACGAGAAGGTGAATGATATGAATATAGATGACTGAACTGTATGCTGGAATACATTTTTCAACGTTTTGAAGCAAACTAATCGTCTTACTCAAGTGCTGCTCAGAACACGCTTCAATTTCAATATTATTTCTCAGTTGCGGTGCAGTTGTACACAGAGGTCTCAATCAGGACTGGAGTGTCCCTATTCCTAAATGCATCACAGAACCAGCAGGAGGCACTGTTCTTACCCCACAGAGCCTACAGTCTGTTATTTCCTTATAAGTTATTTGAACTGTGGAATGAAAACATTTGCTTGAAAGAGGACTATCAGTCCTTTTGCCACCTCTTTAAATAAAAATGCCTTTGCGTGAAGAAATCCAAGTTAAATTCCATGTCTAGTCATAGCTTGGATGATATAGTCTATTACGATTATTTCTATTACAGAAGTGCCTTAAGGCGCCATATAGGATCAGGGTAATATTGTGCTAGGCAATGCCTATACACGTGAGGGATGTTGACATGTAGTCGACTACATGTTTAACCGATAAGCCTAGGCTTATTGGTTAATCTTGTCGACTACACGCATTTTCCCCCTCCCCCCTTGCTGCCTCTTGTAACGGGGAGAGGGAGCAGCAGGGAACTTACCTCTGCTGCGTAGAGCCACGAGAAGTTCCCCACGGCTCCTGGCTTCCCACAGCTCCGAATATTTGCGAATTTCGCCATTCATGACGGATGCAGGAACACATCCACCACAAATGGCGAGGGCTTCCTGTACTGAGGACCAAATTCTGCTCTCAGAGGCATGCACACCCACCAAAAGGAAAGCATTTGTATCATTTGTTTTGGAATGCTTTATAATACTTATGAAGAACATCAATATCCCCACGTGATTTGCTCAAGGCCATCTAGCAGCTTTAGTGGCGGAGCCAGTACTAGATGATGGAATCTTGAAACGAAACGTGAGGGTAGAATTTGGCCCTAAAAAAAATTATTTGATTTTTCTGGAATCACTAACTTTTAAGGCTCCGCAGATTTCCACTGTATCGCAGTCATCCACCACGGTAATCCTGAAATTTGGGGTCTGCATTAATTCTTTAAAGATCTGCCCATGCTTTTCATTTTTGCACCCTGTGGAAGGAAGGATGGGAGTTACACATTCCTTATTACTCAAGTTGCAGGGTGGACAAAATGGATATGTTTATAAAATACTGAAGTAGAAGGATGACTTGGAGGGAAGGGTTTAAGTTAGGTTTTATAATCTGTATAACTAGACATTATTAAAGGGGGATTAGTGAACCAATACAAACTCTTGCAGCTGGTAGCCAGTATTAACCACATAAGTCAAATCGCATTAGCAAAACATTTATCCAATAACACTTCGAGTGGTTCCAGCTGGATGGTTTCCATCACTCACCTCCACCCAACAGGTGCAATTAGACTTCATAATTCCAAACCTTGTCAAATGCTGTTTTCTAGTCTAAATGTAGACTCTTACAAGTGAAAGCAGTGATTTACACAAAGATGCTTCAGCTCACATAGCCCTGCCTGAGTACATCTACATGGCAGTGTTCGTTTTTCTGAAATAACATTATTCCAAAATAACATAGTCTGCATCTACGCTACAAGCAGTTATTTTGACATAATGTCGAACTAGAGGACTTCTTATTCTAACTCCTGTAACCCTCGCTTTATGAGGAGTAAGGGAAGTCGGAGGGGGAGTGCTGTACCTCAGACTTCCTGTTGTCTAGACAGTGCCAAAAGCTGAAATAAGCTATTTCAACTTTAACTACGTCAACTACGTAGCTAACGTTGCATAGCTTATTTCAGCTTTAGCCCTGATGTGTAGTCATGCCCCCTGAGGGCTAGAAAAGACTGAGCACTGGGTTGAGTTAAATTCCTTAGCTATAATCCTAGCTCAGCTGCTGACTCACAGTTTGGGTATGGCCAAGACACTTAGCCTCTTAGCAGGGTGGGGTCAGGATCAACTAATGTTTGCACATTGCTTTGAAAATATAACCGCATCATTGCTAAGCATTGCTAACCTGCTG